TCTTTCTTCCCAAATCTTGGCTTTCTGTCTCATGAATGGAGGTCGTACCTCAAGAATTATTTGGCTAGGAATGTAGCTCAGTAGGTCAAGTGCTTGCCTAGCATGCACAAAGCACTCAGTTCCATCCCAAGTACCATGTAAACTGGATGTGGTGGGACATACGTGTAATCCTGAAATGTAGCATTTCGAAGGCAGAGGCAGAAGGGTCAAGAGTTCAAGGTCATCCTTGGCTATATAACAAATTTGAGGCTGACCTAGACTACATAAGACTCCATCGCAAACAAAAGTTTTCCTTTTGTCTTAATGGTAGAGTACTTGCCTAACATGGATAAGGCCCTAGGTTCCATCCCTAGTACTACAGAAATAAATGTTTGCCGGGTGGTAGTGGCACATGCCCTTAATCCCAGCACTCGGGAGGCAGAGGCAGGTGGATCTCTCTGAGTTTGAGGCCAGCCTGGTCTACTGAGTTCCAGGACAGCCAGGGCTACACAGAGAAACCCCATCTTGAAAAAGAAATATTCAAGATCTGGCAAGATGGCTCGGTGAATAGAGGTGTTTGCCTGCAAGCCTAGTGGCTTGACTTCAATCTCCAGAAGCCATAAAAAGGTAGAAGGGGTGAGCAGGCTCCTAAAACTTGTCCTCTGACCTCCTCCAAGTGCACACTGTGCTACACACTCACAAATGCATGCACTGGTGTACACAGACACACACACAAAGAGAGAAAGAGACACAGTAATAATAAGATTCAAACATTAAAAATGTATTTTAGGGGGAGGGTTGAAGGGGGAGGGGAGAAGCAGGGAAGGGAGCAGAGAAAAATGTAGAGCTCAATAAAAATCAATAAAAAATGTATTTTAGCAGGTATAAAGTCCCTGTCACAGAGTAGGCGCCCAACAAATGCAAGTGCCTAGAGAAACACAACATAGTGCGTGGGAAGGAGAGACCCGAGCTCACTGCACCCTGGCCTCAACTCACTTTCCAGCTAGGAAGCTATGAATGGCAGGGCTGTGGCTTCGAGGTTATTCTGTGAGTCCTGCCTCTCAAGGAGTCAGAGGTCAATGATTGCTGCTAAGCCCTGCTTTCCTCGGGCTCATATTGGGGTTCCTGGCTACTCGCTGTGTCTGCCATGGGCCAGCCCAGGTACCGGGGAAGCCCCCAGAAGCAGATGTCTATGGTCCAGACACTCACCTCTGCAGGAAGCCAAGCTGGGAGGTTCGTTCCTGCTCAGCCTGTTACAGGGGACACTTAGAGGGACAGGAGGGGTGTCTGTGGGGCAGCAGAGAAGCTGTGTGTCCTACAACGCTCCCTGATGACTCTACCTACCTTACAGATATGAGAACTGAGGTTTGGAAAGTCAAAGAAGCCTGGAGTGCTCAGTGTAAAAGCCTGTCAATCTTCCCTCCCCTCCCCGACAGTAGAGGTTGTTTGAACGCTGGTGAGGACTGGGACAGGGATGGGACGGTGAGGAGGCAGGGGAGGGACAGGGGGTTGGGGAGAATAGGAGGAACGTGTCATAACTGCCAAACTCCCCTTTGGGGACCCCAAAACAAAGCTCTGCTGAAGCGTGGGCTGAAGTCGGCCTCTGATGCCCCTACTATATTCAAATGCCTGCTTTAGGTGGTACGGAGTCCGTTTCTTTGTCCCAAGGCAGCCTTCAGAGCGTAGGCACAGCAGTTGCTGCCCAATCAGCTAGTGGGCTTCCCTCAGGTCCCTGCTCTCTCTAAGCCTTGGTTTCTCCCTGCTCTAAGACAAGAGCACAGCCATACCGCCTGAAGTAACTGTGGGACTTTAAGGGAGTTAACGGAACACTGCAAGAGCATCTTCACCCATGGGAAAAGATTTGAGGGTTTTCCAGAGACCCAAAGCACTTTCCCCTCAGAAAAAAACCACAACTATGATGAGGACAACCTTGCCAAAGGGGACCAGGAGCAGCTGTCTAACCTGTACTATTCTGGTTTTCCCAGACCTGGCCAGACAAGTTCACTCAGCCCATCTATGTAGTCAAGACTGTCCTCGAACTTCTGATCCTCCAGCCTTGGCCTCGGGAGTGCTTGGAGGGCTGAGACCTGTGCTACCACACCCCTGCTAAGTCTCAGCCTTGCTAAGGGCAGCAGGGCATTGGGACAGAAACGTCTCAGTCAAGCCCTTCAGCTGCCATTTCTCAGCTACGTGGTAAATATAGCTGTCAATCATCTCTCTGTTCTGAGCCTTGACTTCTCCAGGAAAAGCTTGTCTATCAGAGCTGTGGGGCTCAGCAGCATGAGATCTGAGCAGAGAACCTTCAAAGGCAGAGCCCAGTCCACCTCAGGTATGGGTCCCACTGGCAACGGTCAGGCTGCCTTCCTCTCAGCCATGGCGCTACTCACCGAGAGAAGGATGGAAGAGTCACGGCTGGGAAAAAGGCCAGGTCCTCAGCACCCTGCTCCCACAGAGTCCCTTACCATGCCAGGCTTCTCTCAGCCTCTGGGAGGCAAGACAGAAAAAGTGCATGGTCAGGAGGTCACGGATGGGGAAACTGAGCCTCAGAGAAAGTGAAGCAGCTAAGAGAACGTGCACTTTCCTTCCTCAGAGCCTTCCTTCACTTACACCATAACCCCAGCCTGCACACCTGCCCTTTTCTCCACCGGCCTGGATCCGGTAATAGCTCCCTTTCCCCAGCCACCCTCAGCCTTCACAGTCTTCCTGCCCTCTAGGTCCTCAGTAGCTCCTCTTCACCTGTCAGGCCATCTGGCAAACACCCGATTCTTAGGAAGTGTCCTCCAGTTGGCTAGGTGCTTCCTAGACACTGCCTCCACTATACCTGCCTTGGAGGAGGGCCTGAGAGTGGGGTACGTGTGGGTGGCATCCAGCATCCAGCATAGAAACTAGTGCACACCAGCTGTTAACATCTGACACCCCTGTACCATGTCCATCCATCTCCCTATTCTGTCACTCAAGACATGTTTATGGGGTCAGCAAGACAATCAGTTTGGTATATGCAGGCCTTACTGTGTAAGCCTCATGACTTGGGTTCAATCAGTGGAACCCACACAGACTTAGAAGAAGAGAGCCGAGTCCCAAAAGCTGTCCTCTGACCTACACACACACCCAAATATATATATATATATATATATATATATATATATATATATATATATATATATATGAGTCAGGGTCTCTCTCTATAGCCCTCACTATTCTGGAACTATCCCGGAACTCACTGTGTAGACCAGGTTGGCCTTGAACTCACAGAGATCTGTGTGCCTCTACCTCTCAAGTGATGGGATTAAAGGTATAAAACCCCTATCCCCAGGCAGCAGTAACTTTTTTAAAAAGTCATATTTATGGAGCCCTGTGTCTGGGACCCAGGACACAGCAGTGAGGAAACAGGCAGAGCTAGCCCTGCGGTGATGCTAGCGCCCTGGAGTACACTATTGCATAGGGAGGTCAAGTGCTAATGAGTGCTATAAAGAGTGATGGAGCAGAAAGGGATGGGGAGGGGTAGCTGGGAGAGTCTCTCTGACATCAGGGGGAAGTGTCCTGGGGAGAAAGAAGGGGAAGAGCAAAAGTCCTGAGGTGAGAAGACTCAAGGGCCACAGGCAGGATCAGTGAGCATGTACCGGGTGGGGGTGGGGGGCGGCAACAAGCCGCAGGCAGAACTTTACTCCGACCTTGAGAAAGTCAGAACCAGAATAGGCTCTGGGCAGAAGAGTGGAATCTCTGCCTTAAGCTTTGGTGACTGTGTGAAGAACAGGCTCCAGGGGGTGAGATGGGAGCAGGAAGACCCTGCAGCAGGACTACCATGCAGGAGAGACACGGGGATGGGGGTGGGGCACACACAGCCCTGCTGGTACTGGCACCTGGAAGCCCAGCTAGTGATGGGGAGTTTATTCCCTGTGAGCAATGGGGAACGACGGGAGGTTCTGGACACAGAGATGAGAGGTCAGGACTTTTCTAGTCCAGGCCTACTGAGTGCCTGCTGGCTCCAGGGAACAAGTCAGGACTGCTGAGCCACCTCCCCGGCCTCTGACGTCACTTTCCCAGCACTCCCATGACTGAGGTGGGTCCTATTACTATCTGGATTTGGCAAATGTGGCAAATGAGGCACAGATCCACAGAATCATGTAGCTAGCAGGAGGCAGAGCCGGGACGAAAGCCCAGACAGTAGACCTGCCTCTAAAATCTACATTGGCCTCTTCAGCTGAGCCTGGTCTCTGCCCATGAGAGTGGCTGGTCCCCTTGCCAGGCAGCAAGTACTGAGACTATTCCAGCTGGCAGAGCAGGGTCAATGCATCTACCCGCCCCCCCCCCCAACTCTGCTTACAGAGAACGAAACCAGGAGGGAGAAACATTTACCCTAGACCCCAAAGCTTGTTCTCGTCTGAGATGCCAATCCAGGATGTCAAAAACCTGAGCTGGGGACTTGCTGGGCACCGTACACTCTCCTGAACTTCCTTAATCTGAGCCTGCTTTAGGGGGTCAGGTACATTCCTGGACCCCTCAGCCTGGACCTTTTTCTGCTTTTTCCTCCCTTTGGAAGGGGAAGACAATGGACCCTCAGACTCCAGTCCCAGGTCCCTCTACCTCTGTTCTCCTGACTCTCATTTCGTATCCTGCCATAGGTCCTGTCCTGCTGACCCATTGTTCTCCCCCTGAGTCCAGCTGGGACAGTAAAGCAAACCAATGACCTTCTCAGGGATCCAGGGTCAGGAAACCCAGCAGAGGGAACTACAGAGTTTGCAGATGGGGGCAGGTCCAAGGTCACTTCATAAAAATGGATTCCTGGGAAAACATAAACCAGTTGTTTACTTTGTGAATTTTATCGCCCTTAGGAAAAAAAAAAAACGATCTCATTTTAATAAGGAAGAGAGAGAAGGCGTTCCTAGTTGCCCCTTTATTGGTGAACCAGGACACACAGTCAACAAAAACTCACAGGAGGCTGTGGGCCCAATTTATTAGCCACCGTGTCTCATAAAACTCAGCATTTTTTATTAAAAGAGGACGATGGCCAGACGCTTTGCTTGTCTTTAAGAAAATTGCCTTTAATGTCGGGCAAGACTTGGGGTTTGGTTGTTTTTTGTTTGGGGGTTGTGGGTTGTTTTATTTTTTTCTTTTTCCAGAATAATTTTTCAAACAAAGCTCAGATTCTCCTGCCTGTACACGCCTGTTCCTCCAGCCGCAGGAGGGAAAGTGATTTCTGAATCCATCGGATATGTCGGATTTCTTTGTGGCATCCTCTCCATCGCTCAGCAGCCAGCCATGATGTCATAAGCCCATCAGATTTCCGGTAGGGAGAAAACACTGGGGAATTGGAAAGAATGGATGTTTTTTTACCCGTCAAGAAGGGGAGTGGGAGTGGGGGATGGGGGGGATGGTGTGTTTGGAGGAGCCTGGCTGGGGGGAGAGAAGGGAGGCAAGCTCAATGTTTGTGATATTAAATGTCAGTCAGAACCTGAAAAGCCCAGCCACCCAGATGTTTTTTCAATATCCAGATGTCTGGCAAGGAACAGACCATGTACCCTCCTCCCGGGAGGCCCTCGGCATTTTGTCTTTGACCTCCAGTCTGCAGCGACTTCTCACTGCCAGGAGTGAGCATCCTGTATCCTCCCATCACCCACTCTCAGGGGTGGAATTTTTTTTTTCTTCAAAATCTTTACACATGGATGATAAGGGTAACCAGGTCCAGGTTTTTAAAAGCTGTTGAAGCTGTGATTTGAAAAGTTCAGTCCTTGGAATTAGCTCCCAGAGAGTACACTGTGTAAGCCAAGAGGAGGGGGGGAAATCCCTCGGCCAACACACACACACACACACACACACACACACACACCATATGTGACTCTTAAGCCACAGGACTTCAAACCCCAAACAAAACCAGTGAGGCTGCGAACAAGGACTTGGGCTGACACGGAGTAGAGAGGAGCTTCCCCCAGGAGCACACCTCCCCCAAATCAGAAAAACCGCACCAACAGCTTTGTTCCTCCTGACAAAGCTCTTGCTTTCAAGGCACCGACAGTTGCCAACAAAAGCACAGGGTAGAACTAATTTACACTCCAACTAGGGCTTCCAGGAGTCATAAAATATGGGAATGGAATCAGCTTAGCCAAGGAAACTGCCTCCCCGCCACGGCAGTGGGGACCCCTCGGGCCCCAGACAGGGCAGGTCACGGCCTCCTGGTGGCCTGGCCACGTGCCCCACTGAGGCCACCTCCCAGGCCTGTGACATCACAGTTAATTGACTGTGTAAATGAGCCAGGAACTCCAGGCCCCTCAGGGCCACGGCCCAGGGACTTTCACAGAGAAGCTGAGGACAGGCAGCTGTGGAGGGACACAACTCCAATTAAACCAGAGTCCTCAGATGACAAGCCAAAGGGTTGGCTGAGGGGACAGCGAGTCGGGGCTCGGGGATAGGGGTGGGAGCTGTGCACCCATCTATAACAGCCCGAGTGTTTTGCAGATGAGAAAATGGAAGTTAGTGGCCTGCCTAAGGTCACCCGGCTAATTAAGGGGACAGCCAATACTGAAGGAGAGAAACCACAGGTCTGCCACTACACAGCTCTTCTTGAATGCTATCTAATTTAATCCTCACAACAGCTTTTGAGGGGGAGGGGGAGTACCATTAACCTCCGTGTCTACAAGAACCAATAGAGGAGCAGAGAGAGGTTAAGTCATTTGCCCAAGGTTACACAGCTCCTCATTAACAGAACTTGGCCTGAACTGAATCCAGTGCTTGCTGCAGGGCAAGAGGAGGTAGCTGAGGATTAGCTGGGAGCGGTGAATGTGATTTCAGTACATGTTTAAAATGCTGGTGTCCCCACAGAACAGAAGGGAGTAAAATCACTGCAAATTAATTTTTTTAAAAAGCTAATTCAGGCAGGAGGGCTGACTGGCCGGGGAGGAGGGAGGGGGAGCCTGCTTTGATTTTTGTCCCTGGCAGAGCCTGAATAAAGTATGTTGATGGGCTCTCTAGCCATGTGTGCCTGCTCAAACTCCTAAAGTGGGGGTGGGCTGGAGGGAGAACCCATAAAAGCCTCATCGGGCATCTGCAAGAATCGGACAACCTGCTATGGGGAAGGTGCCAGGAGTACAGGTCGGCTGGGCATAGGAGCCGTGAAAAATCAAATTACAGCCAGTTCTTCTAAGCGGGAGTCCTACTTTCCAGCCAAGAGTTTCAGTGATCTATGAGTCGCTTAGGCAGCCCTAGCCAGGGATCTGATTCTGGGCAAAAGGAACTGTTCGGGTTCCTGTCCGCAAGATGGGAGTGAGATCTAGTCATTGTGGCCCTGTAAACCTAGCCATCTGGGGGGCCCCGTTGCCTGCCACTACCTTCTCTCAGAGTAGTGCTAAAGAAAACTGCACGCAAGAAGCAGGAGCAGAAGAGAGGCCAGTCTGAGCCCAGGGGCTGGGACAGGAGCTCTCTTGGACCTCCCCTGTGAGGTGCCTCAGCCCTGTGTCTGTGGGCAACCTATGCCTGCGCCTCCCTGCTGTTTCCCTGGCCAGCATCACTAAGGCTGACACAGGGCTGGCTTCTTTTACTTTGTTTCTGTGAACATGATGTGGGGTGGTGAAGCCCAGGCCTTCAGCCAGGGGAAAGGAGAAAGGAAACAGATTCCTGCATGCCTGGTCTGGGTCTGGCTAAACAGCTCCATTTTCCTATGGGAAAGTTTAGCTGCTCACTCACCACTTTGTTTCCATCCAGTAGAGATTTGGCTTATTCCATCACCCCACTTCTGCTGAATGGTGACGACCAACATTAACCTCATTGTCTACATGGGGAGTCATCCCAGATTACAGGAGTCTCTCGGCATGAACTGTCAAGTCAGAAAAGCCTTTCTGGAGGTGGTGACAATGGTCCTGGGGCCTAGGATAGATGAGGAGCATGACACCTCTTACTGGTAGGTCTTCTGAGAGGTTCTCTTTGACACCCACCCAAAGCTGCCCACCTTCCCTGGGTCTCATTCCCTTCCTGCCTGTGACTGTGTCTTGTTTGTCATTGTGTCTCTGCACGGGTCTGGAATCCGTGTGAGGAATGGGACTAGATCTGTGTAGTCTCGCTGCTCCATTGCCCATGTCTAGCTCATGGTAGATGTTTCATTTTAATCAACAGAATAAACAGGGCTGTCAGAATGGCTCAGCAGGTAAAAATGTTTGCAGCCAAACCCAAGGACCTGAGTTCAATCCCAGCAAGGGAGAAGAAGAGAAGGAGGAGGAGAAGGTGGCCTAGGTTCCCAGCACCCACATCAAGTAGCTCACAATTTCCTATAACTCCCATTATAGGGGATCTAATGCCCTCTGACCTCTATGATCACGTGCTTGCACACGGTGCACATAAATTCATAAAGTCATGTGCATACACACACATACATACACATAAACTAAAACAATATATAATGGTTTTTGAGCCATAATCTCCCTATGTAACCATAGCTATCCTGGAACTAACTTAGCAGACCTGGAACTAACTAGGCTGCCCTCAAATTCACAGAGATCTGCCTGCCTCTGTCTCTTGAAAGCTGGTAAGCTGGTATTAAAGACGTATGTCACCACACCCGGCAATAAATCTTTTTTGAAAGAAGAATAAACACTACATGCAAAGGTCCCATAGGGACAAAGGGTTCAGAAGAAGGTGACAGAAAATGGGCCTGAGCCTCCCTGGCAAATCACCCTAGACAGGTCGGTATCTCCTCTCCAGCAGGCTCCCTTCCGCCCCCGCCCCATCAAAGTGCCTTTCTTCCCTTAAAGGAGAGTGTCACTAATCCCCTGCCCCATTTGGTTTGCCCCAGGCTTGACACCTTTGAAAAAGAACATGATAAACATTAGCGGTCCCTGCCAGAACTCTCTGCCACTAGCTTCCCCCCTCCATTCTTCCCTTTATCCAGGCTACAGGACCGCTTGGAGCGACAGAGGCAAAGACAAGCAAACGCCAGGAGTTCCAACCAAACGCCAACCCCCTGTCTCGTCTACATCGCCCCCCCCCCCCCAAAAAAAAAGCCTGGCCGTTTCTCCTCACTGAAGCTGGGTAGAAAGAGAAAAGCAGCCAGAACACATGGTGTTGGTCCTGTGTTTCGATTCCCAGAGTGTGATGGGACACCAACTTATCATCTTTGCCCTCAGATTTCCTCACAGGAGAGACGGAGACACTTAGGATGCTGCCGACATGCACCAAAGGGCAGATCGGTGGCATCAACGCGTCTCCTGTCCCAGTCTTGCAGCCCTGGGGAGAAAAGGGACTGGTGAGCCTGAGGTTTAGGGCTCCTTCCCACACAAGTTGTCCTCGCTAGGGCAAGGCTAGTTGGGCTGTGATGGAGAGAGAGCCTGCGCTCGTGTGTACGAGCCGCCCCTTCCCAGCCGCGAGCTGTTCAGTGCACTCCAGCAAACTTTCCAGCAGCATGTACACCTGCCAGCGTCTCTGCGGCGCTACAAACCACCAGCGCGCATCCTCAGCCTCTCCTGCTCCCGGGTCGCTGGAGGTCCCCTGAGTCCCAGGTCCGCATATTCAAACACTCTCCAGCCACTGCAGACCTCAGCCTTGGGGATCAGTGTGGCCCAGTTCCAGATCTCCCCGGCGCCTCCTTCCACCACCTGTGCTCCTCTACACCGCCTCAGGAGCCCTTGGGTCGGTTGTGTCTACACCGCTGTGGCAGTCTCCGGGTCTACACCGCCCAGCACCTGAGCAATGCCCTCAAGGCTCACCCGATGCCTCAACCCAGTGCTTACCTTGCCCGCGTGCTTACAGTCCTGTCCTGACTGTGCGGTCTGGTTCACATATTTTGCAATCTTGTCATGAGCGAAAGGAAATCTTGTTATAATCCTGAAGCCACGTGGTTGCTTGCCCTAAGCCCCTTCTTTCTCCAGATTTTTTTTTTATTTAAATTTTTGGTTTTTGGCTTTTAGGACAATACTCGGCCCCAAAGACCGCTGGCTGGCCGGGAACTCCAAGCAGACGCAGCTGGCCGCGGGGGGCGTGGCTCTAGGCGGAGAGAAGGCGTGGCCTGGGCGGGCGAGGCGGACTCTCCAGCCCAGACCTCCCTCCGCCAGGAAACCGTGGCCTGCGACCAAGGCTCTGGTTCCAGCTCATGATTGGTCGGCCCGCCCGCGAAGCTGATGCCTAATTGGCTGAGACGAAGAAGGCTCAGAGGTGGTGGTGGTGTGTAGATTTTATTCTTCGCCTTTTTCTTCCCTGAGGCGGCCGCTGCTCTGTGGGTCCCTCCTGAACTCTGCAGCCCTTTCCTCTCTGCCTCCGTGCTCCCAATCATAACGCTTAATCCCGCCCCGAATGACAACTGCATTTCTTTGTCCTTCCCCACCAAATGGTCCTTTGAGGTCAGGACTCGAGGTTTCTACTGCCCAGTAGTGTATCCCCAGTGCCTCATAGTAGGTGTGCCAAACACGTTTGTGGATTACATTAACAATGTACACATGAGTTTTTGGAGCTATCTTTAGTGCGGGTAACAGTCTTAAGGGGAAACTGAGGTACAGAGAAATGCAGTCGCCCGAGAGGGAGTGACAGGGCTGACTGTGGTTACACACAGGGTTATATGTAGTCTCTAGCTTTGTAGACAGCAATGCCTTGTGGGGTATCAGCACCGGCTTTCTCATGTGTCGAGGGTTGGACTGGAGAAGGAACTGGGTTACACTATGAGCTATTTCAAGGAATGCTTTGTCCCTAGCACTGTGCTTGGCAGCCAAATGATGTAGCTCCTGCTTCCATGCTAACATCCTAGAAACTGCTGAGCCCTTTTCCTCTGTGGAAACTTACCTACTCAACCCAGTCTGCATTGTCAATCTCTGACAGCTTGGGCATGGTGCCTGTGTGCCAAGGAGAAGCCACAAGAAAGATCAAACCCTGGACAAGGTGACTTGAGCCTGGGTGCTGACCTTTGGTGGGGATGTCCTCGGAGAAACCCTAAAAGGTCTTTCTGATCCAGGAGTGGTTTCTGAGAAGAGACTGGGAAAGGGCTTCCCTGACAAAGGAGTGTGTAGGCGCTGCTCCTGGAGTTGGATCGTGGTGGGTTAATGGACCAGAAAACTGCTCCGGGGGAGCCTGTTTCCTGTACAGTGTGAAGCCAGAGTCAGGCATGCAGAAAGGCTGGCTTGGTGACTGATGAATGAGTTCTTGTGTCTGTGCCTCCACATAGCCTTCTTATAAGGACACCAAGTTGTTGGATTTAGGGCCCACCCTAACCCAGAGTAACCTCATGTTAGATCAGTTCTATCTACGAAGACCTGATTTCCAAACGAGGATCATGTCTATCTTTCAACCCACCAGGCTCCTTTGGATCCGTGAACAGCAAGAGCGGATGCTCCAAGGCTGCAGGGAGCAGATGCCCTTCCCAGCTGCCCACTGCTCTCTCTTGAGTTTACCTTCAGCTCATTTTTGATCCTGGCACCTGGTGGCTTCTGCCTACCCAGAGCCCAGAAGAGAGGCAGTTCTCCAAATACCAGGACTTCTCAGACCTTCCAACCAATTGTGTGCAGTGTGTGCACGCGCAGTGTGGTGCTTTGAGAAGCACACCCCCCACACACACTGGCCCACCCTTCCACACACCCCCGCCTCCTCCCTACCCCCACCCCAACTGAAGATGGACAAGGACAATTAAAGCCATTTCACAAGCAGCTGGTGATTAATCGCCAAGTTAATGAAAGAGGCAGTAATCGCACTCCCGTTTCAGAGGTGGGAATGATGTCTTGGGCAGGGATGGGTGGTCAGCTTAGGTCTGTCTCCCTGAGAAGGTGGAGCCAGCAAGGCAGGAAGGAAAACAAGTGGGTATGTTTTTGAAGCGGATGCCTCCACCATAGCCGAAATGTTTATTTGACACAGCCGGGCCGTGAGTCTTAATGTTTGTGCTGGTCTCTGTGCATTTCCGCATCTTTGAAATATTGCACTGACGAGGAGCGGGGAACTCACCGAGGGGAAGGCTACGTACTTCTAAACTCTAGTTCCGGATTTATAAATGACCTCAAACGCCGGTGTGCCTCAATTTACACAATGGAGCGGCCCTTAAAATTATGTGCAAATCGAATCCCCGTTTGCCCACCCAGTACATCTTAAGGCTGCTGATGCTCCGTCTTCATTTCTGATTGATTTTCCCTGGCAGAGGCACCAAATTCGTTGCTTTAAGTGTCAGGCTCTCGCTGTCAAGTAGTTAATGACCTATAAAGCACTTAAACCGCACTGGAAGAGATGCTATTTGGAGGCACCCCGCTGTGTCCCCTCTCCTATTGTCAGTAATCACCCTCATTTATTTGCTCTTATTGGTTTGGAATTTGCTCTCAGGTTTCCCTAAAGCCCAGGCCCTCCAGGGAGTGTCGAACTCTTCAGGAACTCAGATGGGTGCTGGGGTTGGCATCCAGGGGGCTGCTTCTGGGGGAGTGCCTTCCTTCCTTGAGTGCCTTTTGCTTGGGGGAACTTGGGCGTGGAACTGTTCCTTGTCATGTCTCAGTTTCCTTCTCTGTGATGTTCCAGAGATGGTGCCTGTCTGGAAGCAACTGGTGAGGGAGGGAGGAAGAGAAGAGGCCCAGGGTCAGAGTGAGCAGAGGCAGGGCAGAGATGGGCTCCAAAGCCAGAGCCAGTAGGAAATCCTTAGGTTGCAGAACCTGGCAAGCCATCGCTGTGGGGTGAGAACAGCTGATGAGCTTCAACCGGAAGGGAAAGCACATTTGCATTCTGCGGCTGTTGTGACCAATTACCACAAATGTGACTTATAGCAACACACATTCTTTTATGGTTTGGGGATGAAATCTAAAGCATCACCAATGCAAAGAAACCAAGTGGTGCACACAGCTCCACTACTCTCTCTTGAGCATTAAGAGAACCCATTTCAGGCCCCTTTCACCTCTGAATCACCCTCCCTGGCTATGGCCTCTCCCTCCACCCTCAGACCCAGCACGGAGCCTCTCCCTGCACCATAATCAATCCATATACCTTTCTCATAAAGATAGTTGTGACTCTCAAAATCCAGGGTTGTCACTGCATCTCAAGAGACTTAATCCCATCTGCTATGTAAGGAACATCACAGGCTCCCAAGATTAGGAGGGGGACATTCTGGGAGGACACAGAAGGTCACTCAGCAAAGTGGTCCATGACATGGGTTCTGAAGCCATGCTGGGGCTTCATTTGCAACAACCACTGGTTAAACTGCCTTGGGTAAGTTGTTTTATCTCTCAGTTTCCACACCCACAAACTGGGATCAGTGCTTGTTGCCTGATGACAAAATTAACCATGAGGTAGAAGGAACTTCCTACCAGAGTAGAGGCTGAGAGAGGTCCTTCTGAGGAAGGACAGAAGAGGGGGTGAGGCGGAGCAGGCTGGAATGAAGAGGGGTAGCAACCGCGTCAGGGGAGGAGTGTGCACCCACCTTGCATGCGTGTATAAATTCTGTCCTGGGGGTGACGGACAGGAGACACAGACTGTGTCTAAACAGGTTCGGATTTAAGTCATTGGGCTGAAGTCTTATTCACTTACCAGAAGCTTCATTCTTTCCAGGCGTGCTACTCAGTGGTCTTCATCTCACAACACAGGCTGTATAACTACTACCACTGGATGAGTCTAGAACATTCTCATGACCCTATAAAGAGATCCCATACTCACCAGGCATCCCCCTAAAGCAGGGGAGTATAGAAGGGAACACACTAAAGGTCTCTATGGATTTAAACCTAGAAGGAAGACAGGACAGCCTGAACTCTGCAGTGTGAGATAGTGACTTAGCCTTTGGGCTGGGCCAGCCTGCAGAGGACATTTCCCTCCCTGCCCCAACTCCAGCTTCCTCACTTAGGTAATCTACCGCACCAGACACACAGGGCTAAGGCAAGGCTTGGGATCACACTATATAGCCACAGTAAACTTTTAGGTTTTTGTTTGTTTGCTTTTTTTTTTAATCCTGAAACAAGCTCTCATGTACCTAGGTTAGCTTTGAACTCGGTGTGTAGCTTCGACTTCTGTTTCTCCTGCCTCTAGCTCCCACACGCTGGCATTACAGTCTCATCTTCCATCACGCCTGGTTTATGCAGTGCTGGGGATCAAACCCAGGACATTGTACATTCTAGGCGAGCACTCTACCAATGCAACCACATTCCAGGACCACGTCTACCACTTTTCTTTCTGGATCTGGTGCTCTGGCTCTGGAGCAAGTCCATATCTATAGGGTTCAGCTGTTCCTCAGAGAAGCTAGCAGTCCTCTTGACTCTTCCACGGTACGCGGATTACTGCCCAGAGAGGCAGCTGACAGAGGGGCTTCTACGGGAGGGTGGTGGGGCATGGCTGGATCCTGTTCTGTGCCTCCCACATGGACTCAGCCACTCTAGGATGAACAAAGGGAATTCCAGAGGGGTTTCTCCAGTCTCCCCACCCTCTGACCCCTGGTTTGACTCAGTATGACTGATAACTTGGGGAATCCTACACCCTTTCTGCCAAGGGTGCCTGACCTCACCTACAGGCAGGAAGAGAGGCCATCCAGTGAAATGAGAGTGTGATCAGAATATTGCTGAGCCGGCTGAGGCTGCCCCTGGCGGTGACAGGGGCTTCTGGGAGCAATTAGCAGAACCGCACTTACAGGCTTTATGGCCCCTGATTTGGTCTGCCAGCTCATATCACCAAAGCATCTTGTCAGCTACAGGCCTGTCCCCCGTGGTGGCTGGACCTAGAGCTACCAGGCAGGTGGTATGGACTCCAGAACCCCTGTATATTTATTGTGGGGACTCTTCTGGTGGTGCAGATGCCCCAGCATGCCCATCTCAATTCTCTTATATACAAAATGGGTTACATTTCAAGCATTCAGTTTCCACTTCCCGGAAACTGGAGAGAGAAAAAAAAAACAACAACATCATTCTCCCTCTTCAGAAAGAACAGGCACTGAGAGGCAAGCGCAGGGAAGAATTCATTTTTTCTTTAAACAAATGACTCTTGAGCCCTGAGTATAAGTCAGGGTCCAGACAAAGAGACACAAATGAGGTTTCTCTGTGCTGGGAAGCTTAGGGCCTCCTGGGGGGAGACAGGAGTATGTGTGAACTGATTTAATATGAGGTGATGAAGAACAAATAAACCACCTGGTGGGGGGAGAGGCTTAGGAAAGCTTCAGGGGAAAAGGGTATCTGAGCATCCTCTTCTTCAAGCAAGAATGGGATGAGGGGCCTTGGCAAGGGGTGGAGGGGAGCACCAAGGTGCCGACTGGAGCACAGGGGAGCACCAAGGTGCCGACTGGAGCACATTTGAGCAGCAGCCACAGGTCAGGCTTGAAGTGACTTTAGGTCAATGACAGCTGATCTGTTGGGACCAATTTTTTTTTTTCCTGACAGGGTTGTATATAAGCTAGGCAGGCCTTGAAATCAATACATAGTAAAAGACCTTGAGTTTCTTTAGAATTTTTGAAATCATACTTATTGTGTGTGTGCCTGAACACGGGCATGTGTGAGAATGCTCCAACACGTGTATGGAGGTCAGAGAACAGCTGTGAGTGGTTATTTCTCTCCTTCCATGATGTGGGTCTCAGGATGGAAATTCATGTCTTCAGCCTTGGCCTTCAAAAGCCTCTTTACTCCCTGAGCCTCCTCATTGGCTCAATTCCTGAGTGCTGGGATGCCAGGTATGTGTCGTCATGGTACCAGGAACCAAACCCGGAGCTTTGTACATCCTAGACACGCGCTCTTCCAAACAAACTCTCTCCCAGCCCAGGACCACCTATTCTTACCCTGTTCGCAGCAGAGAGACTGGAACAGATTTGGATCTGACAGATGTTCAAAGACAGATGGGTGAACAGAGGCCCCCATTCTTGCACATAGCAGAGGCCATTGTGACATTGTGAGTCACCTTTGGCCATGTTGATGCCCGTTTTTCCCAGGATCATTTGTGGGAAAGGCCACCCTAATGCACTGAATGAACTTGTCTCCTTTGTTACAATGAATTTGACCATGAAGATGACTTGATTCATGCAGACGATGAGCGTAACATGGCCAGATTCTGCACCAGTAACTTGGTGCAGAATCAGGAAAGGTCTAAAGAAGAAGAGGTTAAAGAGACAGAGGAAAGAAGACAGGGATCTGAGGAGAAAAGCAGTCCCCAGGTCATCTAAGGCCCATGGCAGAGTGGCTATGTTCTCATCTAAGGCAAGGAGGTTAGCCAGAATCTTGTCCATAGAGCCTGAGGACTGGGAAGGAGACAGGCCAGAGAGCAAAAGGCAAGACTGCTGGGCCCCCAAAGGCCCACAGAGTGGTAAAAGAAAACCCACTGCAGACATAGCCACTTGCAAAGTAAGTTTTCAGTCAATGAGAGGGCTGTAAAGGCAGAGCGGTGCCAATTACAGCCGCATTATCCCGGATTAGGAAGCTCCTGAGAGGCCGCTCATGCTTCCAGACATGCTGTGCCTGGGATTTCTAGGGGACACCTGGGATCCCAATGTCCAAGCTATCAGATACAGGCTGCCAGACAAATATAACTCTGGGACCTGCAGTGACCTGCCTCTACGTCACCAAGGATGTAGTTCACCGGGAGGTAGGGGTAGCCCAGCTCCCCACAACACATAGAGCAGGAAGGAGGAAGGGAGGGAAAGAATTTAGATATGAACCATCACTGCAGGGGCTTTCAGTGGTCTTCCCCAGCATCAGGTCCCTCGATAGACCTTCTATTCCATCCCTACCCATGACATCACTCCTTGGCCTGACCCATGGAGACCTGCTCTCATTTGGAGCCAGCCCAGAGTTGCCCTATCCCTTCTGGGCTTGTCCTATCAGCTTCTCTCAACACTAGTTTCTGCTTTGGTAAACCAGAGAGATCAGACATCCCACCCCAGCCCACGCCACAACCCCACTTACAGGTCTGTTTTCAGAATGAGGTGTTGCCGATAAAAAGTCCAGAGACAAAAATTACCAGTACAACCTCCATGCCTGAGAGTGCCTGTTGAAAGAAGAACCCTTCCCACTGGGAGCCCCCAGGGGCCTCTTTCCATCATTTCCCACAGAGAAGGTTCAGCAAGTGCAGTCCAGGTGGTGGAGTGGAGGACGTTCCCTGAAATACCTTACACAGAGGTTGAAAAATCGGAAACAGCTGAAGAGGCCATTGATAGGGGCCCGATTAAATTAGGGCCATCCGTCCTGTGAGTCCTCTGCTGTAATTAGAGTCTGGCAGCATCCACACGCTGTCTTGGGCAGATCCCCACGTGGGGCTTTGTGAGCCAAGCCAATGCAAACACCTACAGAACGACGGCACAAGCTCTTCAGAGCTCTCCCACGAACGCCCTGCACTTCATCCATCCAAATACACGGCTGTGATTAACCAGAGAGAAAGGCCTTCCCAATAGCCTGGCTGTGATCTCCAGGGAGGGGCTTCCGATGGCAGCAGGGAGGTGGCGGGTGCATCAGAGCAAACTTCACCTTGCTGGAGTTTAAATGTTTTACCACACTCTGTGTCTGCGACACCTGCTTGTATTCACAGTGAAAATTCAATGCCAAGCGCAGAAAGCAGCACTTAGCCAGGGCTCAATCAAGGCTCGAGGGCCATAATTATAACCACGGTTCAAGGAGGAGCCGGCAAGGTTCACAGAGTCTCATGTCGACATCTCCAGTGCTGGAGTCTCCGTTCAGGGCTGAAGCCCCTCCAGTGGGCAAATGACATCCCCAGGCACTTAGGAGGGACAGATTGACGCCACTCAGCTTGGCTGGGCCAAGGCAATGGCCCACCTCTCCCGGAAGAGCTGTGTGCCAAGAAAACTATTGAACTACATAAAAATCCATCCCTGAAGTCCCAAAGGCATCCTTAGGCTGGAACATGGCCTTTAAATTAGATGGAGGAGGGGGAAAGAGGCAGGTTTTGCCTGTAACTCGATTTCAGGTTAGTGAGAGCTAGGGGCCAAAGAACTAACGATGCCCCCAGCTGCACCCACCCACTAAAGTCCTGTGATGGTGGCTGTGAGGGACACTCTAGCCCCACTAAGCATATAACAAGCACATGTTCCCATGGAAACTGCTGCACAGAATCCTCTGGAATTTTTTTTCTGGGGGTGGGGACACAGCTCCTGTACCTACTTCCTGGGTTTGGTTCCTCGAGATGCTTTTGTTTTTTGTTTTTTTTTTTTTTTATTGAGGAAAAAAAATTTCCACCTCCTCCCAGCCTCCCACTCCTCCCCCCCTCCCCCCACTCCTCTCCCCCTCCCTCTCCAGTCTGAAGAGCAGTCAGGGTTCCCTGCCCTGTGGAAAGTCCAAAGTCCTCCCCCCTCCATCCTGGTCTAGGAAGGAGAACATCCAAACTGTCTAGGCTCCCACAAAGCCAGGACTTTCTTTTGCAAAGGTTGTGGCGAGCTGAAGCCAACCGAGGGGTGGGGTCGGGTGGGGCTGTCAACTTCCAGCCTTTTACAACTCTTGGGAGAAGCTGAAGGTGGGAAGCTGTAGGGGGTCCCTTGAAGTGATCCTGATGTCCTAAGGCTCTGAAGAAGCTACCAGGTGAGAAGACCTCAGAGAAGCCTGGGCCAGAGAGTGCGTGGAAATCCCTCCAGGCAGGGGCAAGGACTCGCTCCACCAATGAGAGGGTCACATCAGCCTTCCTTGAAGAGCCCAGGCTCCTCTTTACCTTCCCCATTCAGCCATCCTCTCTCAAGTACCTCCCAGCTGTGCCCCTTCTGGGGGTGCTGCTAGACCCAGGAACCACCTCCCCTCTGCCTCACTCCCTGTGCTACCCACCTCCAATCCCCTGTAGCTGGAGAAGCCCTAATCTGCCTCCTGAGAAGGATGCTTCTGTTTTCTGAGGAGGTCTGTCTGCTCTCAATCATTGCCCTAGCAGTTTGAATCAAGGAAACATACTCGGAAGGGCCTGGAGACCTCCCTGTCTGTCCACTACACCCTGAGTGGTCTGGATTGTCGCTGGAAACCCAGGCTCAAGCAGGCAGGTAGTGACTTAATCGAGTCTGAGTTGCTGCTAGGAGGTGGAGCTGGGTCCTAAGGGAGGTCTTGTGCCTCTCCTCTCCCTTCCCATTCAAGGCCTGTCCCCAAGGGGTTCACATTCAGGGGCCCCTCTCCTCCTCCTTCATCCTTGCCATCCGCATCCTTCATCCTTGCACCAGCTCCCCTCTCCAGGCTCTTAGGCTTGGGTGGGTGCTCAGCCTTCTTTGTTGACTACTGGGAGACACAAAATACTCTTCCCTAAGTCTCCCTAATGTGGAAACCCCTTACTAGGTCCCACCCTGAACCCTACAACTTCCTTTTCTTCCTCCTCCTCTTTTCCTTCTCCTTCCCTTCCCAGACTCGATTCTTGACCGACAGAGCCCTTTGTAAGCCCTGCCCCCCAACCTTGTGCCCGTTTTTTGCCACAACCAGACCTCAGCCATCACACCACTCTGGCAATGTCTGTGTTCCCGGGAGGGGCAATGGGTCAGTCTTCCACAGTTCCTCGGCCACAGTAAGGAGCTGAGACTTTATTGCAAGCAAAGTAGAAGCCACAGAAGGCTTTTCACAGGCAAGGGACAAAAACAAAGTAGGTTTTGCCAGGTCCCCTCAGCTTCTTTATAGAGAAGAGGCAGTGGGGACATTGGGGACTTCTGGGAGGCCTGGGTGCTGGGTCCTCAGCCAGGGCACCATGTGAATTCACACCAGGCTTCATCACTCTCTGAGAAAGGGCAGGGGAAACCTGAGTCCCACTCAGAGAGTCCAGAAACTGGTCATAGAGCTCAGGATGCGGGCGAAGTAGCAGCCAAGTGTTTGCTGACTGCAGTTCCCATCCCAGCGTTGACCTTCCTCTCAGGCTGCTGGAGTCAGGAGCCTGGGGACAGCTCTGTGCCACACAGTTTCCCTCCTTCACTGACCAGGAACTCATTAAGCCAGCCTCGGGGAGCACAGGCCTTCACTAAACCCAGCCCATGAGGAGCTTTGCTTGTTGGATGTTCACAGAGTGGGCCTCGATAGAACCAGGCTTGTAGGTTGCTGGCCACTGGGCCCAGAAAAGCCTGGTGCCACTACCCAGGGGCACAGTGGGCTTCCAAAGATCAGCCTGTGTCTTCCGCTCTAGCCTTTCTCTTCCTTCAAGGAGGGTCTCACTTGCAGAACAGAAGGTGCTGCCTGAGGGGAGATGGTTCAGTACTGCTGGGTCCAGGCTAGGTGCCTGCACACTAACACCTCCACGTCCCCTGGGTGCACACAGGCTTTGGAATGAGAACATTCCAGGAACTTTTGAAGTAGCCTAGAAAGCAGGGGAAGTAGATTGTCCTGTCCGTTTCACAGATAAACTGAGTCTGGGAAAGGCAAAGGAGGGAAGAAGGGTGAGAAACAATCCCTGCAGCCCAGACACAGAGACCTTCAGTCCCTGTCTTCCAAGGAGATGGATTCCCTACTGCAGAGCTGCCTGGAGGATGAAATGAGGGGTTCCTTGAATGAATTTCTGGTGAGAGAGGGGGCAGAAAAGCTGAGGCTCACTTTTGTTCACCCTGGTTTGAGCTTCTTCAGCACAGAGACCCGCCCGCCCACCTACCCCGGAAAGCAGAGCCCAAGCCACACAGAGTCACACGGAGGTGGCATGGAGACAGCTAGGCTGGTCTCCATGGGCCAAAAGCAAATAAATAAAGACATAGAGAAATAGGATGAAGCTGCGGGTGGTGGGGCCAGAAGAGGTCACAAGGAAGGGATTTGGGGGAGCTGGGTCTTAGGGTAGAGCAAGGAAGAGGTCTGGAGAGCCAAGGGCAGTAGGCACAGTGAGGTGAGTGCCCACACAGGCTGGTGGGAAATCAGCTCGGGGTTCTTGTTGGGGGAAAGGAGCTACCCTAAGCAAGCCAGACTTCCCTTTCTCACCAGTACGTGTGGAACCTCCCTGCTCCGGGTCCTGTTTCACCGCCACTTGCCATATCCTAAGCCTCCACATCCGGCCCTGGACCCAGCCAGCTTTTGTGCAGTTCTTCACTGCCTACTCTTCATTTCTCCTTAGCTATACCGTTTCCCAGCTCCACCCAGTATGTGGCAGGCAGTCATTCATTGCATTGACCTCACTGTGTAGCCCAGGCTGGCCTTGAGTTCACTGCGATCCTTCTACTCAGCCTCCTGAAGGCTGCAGTGATAGGCCTGAGCCACCATGCCTGGCTGTGAATTTGTGCCTTTGGGCTGACTGAGCAGGGACCACGGCTCAGTGGCTGGGCACAGCCCTGATCTGCCTGAGGGCCCAGATGGAGACCCGGGCCAAGAGAGCCATATACACAGCTCTGTAGGGATGGCAGTAAAGGATGAAGGGGGAAAGAGGTGGTGGACAAAAGAGCCCAGGGCAGGGGCGGGGGGGGGACTGAGGCACCCTTTGTCCACAGGATCAGGGAAAGAATGGCTCTCTAGATGGAGGAAAAGGCTGGGTGAAAGCCCGGAGATGGGAACTTCTGGCTGGCAGGAAGGATGGGAGAGTAGGTCAGGGAGAGGCCTGAATGTGCAGGTGATGGCATGGTCTACGGGCCCTGTTCCTGGCCCAGATCATGTCCTCGGACAAGGGAAGTGGCTCTGGGTCCCTAATGCAAGAGAAGGCTCAGGACTTATGGAACGTCTCCTAGAGATTTTCATAGACGAGGTTAAATTCATTGTCTTCCTCAAACCTATTCCGTTTCTCCTAGGAGAGAAAAGAGAAGGAAAGAAGGAGGGAGGAGAAAGGAGAGAGAGAAATATTAGGTAGGAAAAGAACAAATTTGAGCCCATGTTTAGTCATTTATTGCATTGATCTCACCGTGTAGCCCAGGCTGGCCATGGCTGGCCATGCGTTCTCTGCAATCTTTCTGCTCAGTCTCCTGATGCTGCAGTGATAGGCCTGAGCCACCTCGCCTGGCTATGAATTTGTACCAATTTATTTTTGTTGGGGGCAGACAGATAGCTTATGGAGTCACACTGATAGGAAACATGACCTCTGCCCCCAAGCCCACCTCTTCTGCCATGCCTTTCCATAGCTGTCCTCCACACTCTAACTCCAGCAGGCTCCCAGGGCCAGTTTCTGGCTTCTCCCCATGATCTTCCTTTGGTCTGGGATGCGATCTCTTCCACATAGACACCGAGCCCTCAACTATCAGAATTCACCGGCAGGTGCATCTCAAGAGGACCAGGGAGCCCTCCCTGTCCTCACACTGGTCTGGCCTCACCACAGAACCTGTCCTCCACACAGGGCTACTGATTTCTCTGCACGTCTTTGGGGTCAATAGTTTATTCCCGCAGTGTAGGTTTCTAGAAGGCAAGTGTACCTCACTTTCCTGCCTAGCACCCCAGAGCCTGACCTTGTATAGACACTGACTGAGATCTTTCCAGTGGTCTGGGGTGGGAGACCCTGCTTCCAGTTAGGGCCTAGTTCAGGGTTTTGAAAACTAGAGATTCAACAAACACTTCCAGCCTGGAGCAAGGGGGCCAAGTACCAGTTCCTTTACTCCTTGAGGCTTCTCCACAGTGTTTTGAGACCACCCACCTTGCAGACTTCCCACACCAGGGTGACCACACTGCTGCTTTGTAGAGTTCAAAGCTCTGGGGCTCACGTTACTCTTTTGAATTCTGGCAAAGCTGGCAGCTCAGGTCAATATTACTCATCCACTTTAGAGATGAGCACACTAAGGTTTTCTTTTTTCGAGACAGGGTTTCTCTGTAGCCTTTGGATCCTGTCCTGGGACTAGCTCTTGTAGACCAGGTTGGCCTTGAACTCACAAAGATACTCTGCTGGGAATAAAGGCGTGCGCCACCGCCACCCGGCTGAGCATACTGAGGTTTAAGAGAGAAAGTGTGACAAAGTAGTGAGCCCAAGGCCCAGTCACAATAACAGCTAGAGCTGGCACCAGTGCTCATCCAACTCAGACTGTAACCGGCACGTGCCTGGGGCCATCTGGACGCCTTATGCTCTCACTCAACTGGCCAGTGTAGACACTGCACAGTGCTCACCAGCGGTGGTTATAACCACCACACTGTGTGAGTTCACGCTGGGTCCTGGGTCGCCCTCTCAACACTGTGAGCTGTTCTCAAAGAAAGCCTGGGAGGTGAGGATTATCCTGGCTCCTCTGAATATAGACCAGGAGATTCAAACTCCTCCAAGGCTGCAGGGCTGCTGAGGGATCAACCGAGTTCAAAGCTGCCAGTCCTCCCAACCACTAGGCCAGCTTGTGGGGATGGCACAGTCAACTGCGAGTGGCCCAGTTCTGGGGTCTATTAAACTCCCATGGCATAGATGAGGGAGGGAGGGGTGAGAAGGAAGCAGGCTCCATGTCCCCAGGCCCGGGCATACCTTGGAGGGAGGACTTTGGCTGGAGACAGGGCTGCCAGTCTCTCCTTCGAGGCAGGCATAGACCTCTGTCTCTCGGGGCTGTAGACCCTGTAGGAAAGAGGGCACCAGTGTCAGCGGCAGGTGACATAGAAGGACAGTCCCCAGGTTCCTGCCTGTTGTTAACCGGATGTGCTATGGAAGCCCAGGGAAGGGCAGAACCCCTGGGCTGTCTCCATTAAAACTGCCAGTCTCTGAGTCCCCTGAGTCCTTGCCCTGATTGTACAGGGCCAACTCAGTCTATACCACACCACTTCCTTCAAGGACCACCAGCAAAGCTCAGCATGGGACTCAGTCCAGACTTCCCCTGGCTGGCAAAAGGATACACTGTCGCCCACCATCCCTGACAGTCCTCCGGTGCCTGAGGCCCCAGCAGCAGTAGGAAGCCCCCTACATGACACCTAGGGTCCCTGCTAACTTCTGCCCTCACTCCCTGGTTCAGGGACTGTCCATGACAGAATCCCATCTGCTCATCCACCTTCTAGGTCTCCTCTTACTCACTACCCATCTGGGGCTTGCAGACGACCCAGGCACGGAGTAGGAGCTCACTCCTCCTTCATCAGTCCTGTGCCTTGCTGGAGGATTAAGGAATCTAACTCCAGAGCCCAGGGCACGCTGCTTTCTCCCTAGCCTATTATTTCCCTTTGGCCCCCTCAAGCCATACTACTCTGGTCATCTAGGGCCAGAGTCATTCCCTAAATATGCACCCTTGGAAACACATGCTCCCAGTCTTCCGCTGACCACAGTCCTGCAATCTATGACTTCTCCAGAGAACTTCCCTGGGGCTGGGAAGCTGGGACCCAGCCTCTGTGGCTTGCTTGGATGTGGTTCACATCCATGCTACACCCACAGCCTTCAGCAGACTGGGAATCTCTTGGGGACAGGGACCATGCCTGGTTTGTCTGTGGGCACCGGACTCTATAGCTGGTCTCGGCACAGTGACAGTGCCACCAGGTGAGGATTGGTGAGGGAACTTCTCCCTTACTAGGTGTGTGGAGTCAGTCAGTCACTCCTGAGGGTCTTTAGCAGCCAGACCACAGATTCCAAGACGGTGAGAAGACCCTGGCTTTGAAGTCAGACAAGACCAGGTTCAATTCTTGGCTCTGATACCTGCTCCCACAGGCAGCCTCTTTGCTGCCTCAGTTTCCTCATCTACAAAATGGAAATCATCTTATCTGTCTTATAGGCCCAACATGTGAATAAATACGAGGCTGCACATAAAGTTAGGCAAACAGTAGGTGCCTAATATGCAGTTGTTCGAAGATCGCCCAGGAAGGCACCACCCCAGCTGCGGTGTTTCGGAGCTCTAGAACACAGCTTGCAAAAGCCCAGGCAAGCAAGAGGCAGAAACCCTCCCTTCCCCAGTGTGCTTGTCACATGGATGCCGGCTTGTTGCCAAGGAGGCGGTTTCCCTGGCAACAGTCAAGCAGGGGTTGGTGAGGCAGGCTGGGGAGACAGGTGGTGCTCAGAGGCAGGAGGAGGGTGGGGAGGTGGGAGGGGAGAAGGGAAGAAAGCGCCCAGAGGTAGCCACGCATGAAAACTCCTGTAATAAACCATTTGGCGCTTGGGAGACCCTAACTTCAAGGGCATCAGACACAGGCAGGGTGGTGAATCTGTCCTGAGGACAGCTCAGAGTGTCTCTCAGCTAGACAGAGGGAGGGGCTTGGGAGAGGATTTTCCAGCCTGCCTCATCTCCAAGGGAAGAGAACTTCCAAGGCCCATTCTGAGCCCTGTGCACCTCTGTGCCTGACCAGAGAACTGACCTCCGCCCAGTGCACAGGGTAGAACATGTTGCCCAGACACACTATGAGCCCTCAGGCCTTTCTCAGACTCACAGACCCAGGGACCACAGGTGGTTCCCTCTCTCTTATGTCTCCACTATTCTGGCCACCCTAGCAGGTGCAAACCCAGAGAAGCCAGGGACCATCAGGGTCAGGGAAGGGCACCCTGTTTCTGGTGTCTGTGCTACAAAAGGCAAGCGTGGCCATCACTCAGCTGGTGTCCAGTGGAGCCTTTGACAGTCCTGACCTGCTGGCTGCATTTGCATTCAGGGTTTGACCTGCTGTTCCCGGCTGTGAAATGCAGGGGAGAGCCTTGTCAGCAGGATACTTCCAAACCTCTCGTCCAGTTCAGTTTTCTGGGCCTTTCTCAGCAATGAGGAGCAAGGCTATCGGGGAGGTTACCTCCCTCGACTCTCTGCCAGATTGTCCAGGCTAGGCTCTGCTGGCCTCCGCTCTGCAGCGGTTACTTGTCTGACTCAGGTCCTACAGACCCCTTTGCCTCTTGTTGCCCAGTGGGCAGTTACAAAATGTTCATTAGCCTGGTGGAAGAATCAAGGCCAGCCTCCAGGTTGGTTCAGGGCAGTGCGAAGCTAGCTGTCTGGGCCTGGATCTCCTCTGGAAATTACAGTGTAGAAAGAGGCAGTACTGCGGAGCACCCCAGCTCTGGGTCGGGGTTCTGGTACAATCATACCAGATTTTCCATTATCACATCTGAGTGTGAGAAAAGTCACTTTGTGGGGCTGGAGAGATGGCTCAGCCGTTAAGACTGCTCTTCCAGAGGGCCATGGTTCAAATCCCAGTACCCACATGGCAACTCACAACTGTCTGTAACCCCAGTTCCAGAGGACCTGGTACCCTCACACAGACATACAGGCAGGCAAAGCACCAATGCATAGAAGAATAAATAAATCTTTTTTAAAAAAAATCACTTCAAAGAGGACAAGAGGAACTGGGGGCCAGGGACACTGGGCCAGGCAGAGGCAGAGAGCAGAGGTGAGGGGAGGTCTTTAAAAGCTACTGACACCCATTTGCTATAGTTATCCCCTCTATCCTGCATCAGGTCTCGAATCTAAGCTGCCCTGGAAGGGCAGAGCAGACGTCAGGCCACAGCCCTGAGCTTGTGCAGGATGAGGATGAGGAGGGGGCTTGAGGGAGACCGCGACAACCTAAGGGCATGACCCCTGGAGAGACAGAGAGAGGACCCGGGGGAGGCTGTCATGTGTATTATTTTGGAAAGGACCATCTGAGGAGAAAGTAGGTATAGGAAGGACCTCTTGACGGGTAGACAGTGACAACTTGGAGGCTGTGAACAGACTTCTAATCTTGATCTAGGGTGGGATGGCAACTTCTAAAGGATTGCTGGCCTCAAGAATTGCTTTCTGTAGGCATAGTCATGTACACCTTTAACCCTAGCACTTGGGAGGCAGAGGCAAATGAATCTCCGCGTGTTCAAGACCAGCCTAGTCTACATAGTGAGGTCCAGACCAGCCAAGCGAGACTCTGTCTCAATTAAAAAACAAAACAAAACAAAACAAACAAACAAAAGAATTGCTTCAGCACCTCCACCTGCAAGAACAGGAAGGGCGTCTGGCCTGAGTGACTGACAGAACAGCCAGCATCTCCCGGGGAGAGAATGTTGGAGGCACATAGTGCCTGAAGATTTGGAATTTGGCTGAGAACCGCAAATGAGACATCTTGGTGGAGCTGGGCCCAAGGCTCAGGGATGTAGGAGACAAAAGCTGGGGCTGATCCAGACATGGATGGCGTCCAGAACCCTTCCCGATGAGATCACTCAGGGCTGGGGAGTGAGAGTAAAAGAGGGCAAAGGTCCCAGGGCTGAACCCCAATGTCTACACCAATGTTTGGAGATGAGGGTTCCACAGCTCCCGAGGAGGAATCAGTGAGAGGGGGCTGAAGAGGTGTGGTGGTGAATCAGGGGAGGATGGAGAAAGAATGAAATGTTCTAGAATTGAGGAGGAGGGAGCACTCAGGGAGCTGTCAGAAGCTGCTGAGTCATCAAGGGACCTGGGGACCCAGAACTGCCTGTCGCATACAGCGGATACAGCCACGTGGAACCAGAATGACTGCCAAGGAGAGCTCTGCTGAAGGGTGGCTGCAGGGCTAGCCAGTCAGAAAGGAGCGAGGGAGGGCTAGGAGATGCCATAGTGGGCCAAGCCCTTGCCACAAGTGTGCGGGGCCTGAGTTCAAATCTCCAGAATCCATACAAAACCAGGTGCAAGCCATGTATGCCTGTTATTCCAGCACTCCTACAGTGAGATAAGAGGCAGAGACAAGAATTCCTGGAGGCTCGCAGGCCAACCAGGCTGCAGTATGACGTAGTGAACACAAGCAGACCTTGTCCCAACTAAGGTAGAAAGCGAGGACCAGCACCCCAGGTTGCCCTCGGACCTCCACACACTTGCTGCGACACATTGAAATCCACACTCACATATACAGATGGTATGCACACACGCGCACACAGAGATTTTCTTTTTAAATGTCAAATAAAAAAAAAATCAAGAAAAGGCACCCTGGGGCATTCTGTCATCTGTAGAGAAGGGAGGGCAACTGGAGGGGACACAGTTCAAGAAGAGGCATTTAAGACGGAAGGAATCACAGTGTGCTGGGAGCTGCAAAGGCAATGCTGGATGACTAACCCTGCATTAATCATCAAGACCAGGACTCAGAAGGTTTAAGTGGTAGAATCAGCAAGTTCCAGACAAGTCCAAGTTAACACAGTGAGACCCTGTCTATAGCAAAACAAGCGCAAGGCTTCGCTTCTGTCAGGCTGGCCCGTTTAGAAACTCTAATAGGTCAGGATTCTAAACACAAGTTCAAGTGCTGCGGTGCTTTGGATAAAGTCTGAGTGCTCTTCCACATAAAGGCAAGCAAAGCTGACAGAGTTAAAAGGAGAAGTATGCAGACCCACCACCGCACTGGCAGACACTTAACACCTGATAAGACAGACAAAGAAAATCAATAGGGACCAACAAGGACCCAGACCATTTTAGCAACGTGGTCAGCAAATTTGCTCTCACTGACACCTAGAGAACACTCACGCACCATGAGTGAAGTGTGCCTGCACCAGGTGAGACATAAAGCCGGTTTCAGTGGCGTTCACACTATAAAAGTCAGAATACGTGTATATACGAAAAGTAGATTTAGCCAGAGACAAAGAATATTACAAAGCAGTGGGGGAGAGGACTCCATGGTTAAGAGCACTGGCTGTTCTTCCAGAGGACCCCAGTTCAATTTCCAGCACCCATGTGGCGGCTCATGGCTGTCTGTAACTTCATTTCTACAGAATCTGATGCCCGCTTCTGGCTTCCTTGGACACCAAACACATAAGTGGTGCACAGACATGCATGTAGGCAAAGGGTTCATACATACATTAAAATCAAGGAAATCTTTAAAAATAATTCTGTGCAACTCTATGTTCTTTTTTTTTTTTTTTTTTTTCGAGACAGGGTTTCTCTGTAGCTTTGGTTCCTGTCCCGGAACTAGCTCTTGTAGACCAGGCTGGCCTCAAACTTCCAGAGATCCGCCTGCCTCTGCTTCCCAAGTGCTGGGATTAAAGGCGTGCGCCACCACCGCCCGGCTAAGCTGAAAATAAAAGTAGTATAAGGGCTGAGGCTCCTGCTCGGGAGTACAGTGCTTGCCTCTTGCCTAGCGTGTTCAAGACCCTGGGTTGCATTCCCAGATGAGCGAGGAAGGGAGTGGGGAGGGAGAGGGAGGAAGAGATTGATTGGGAGAAAGAGAGATTGATTTTCACATAGCAGCTGACACTATACTCTCTCCTAGTGTAGAGCTGCTGAGAAGGAAGAGGGAATTTGAGGGAATCTGGGGCGGCATACGCTGCAGCAGCTGGTGGAAAGTCCCTGGAGAGGAGAAACTAAGGGCCCTTTGAGAACTGTCCTGTTCAGAGAGCTGTCAGTGTTGCCCCCCACGGGAACATCCCTTGGCCTCATTGCCGCCTCCCCCACCCTCAGCAAACATAGCCTAATTCTGATCATGCTCTGGGTGGGGATTTGTGACCAGGTCTCACGTGTGCATCAACAAGGTCCTGGAGACAGGAGGAGTGGTAAACACCCTCAAAATATGTCCTTGGCTACCCAAGCGGCCAGCTGTGGGGTCGGCAGCAGCACCTGGTGGCTCTGGCTGACACGGCGTGTGTGTGTGTGTGTGTGTGTGTGTGTGTGTGTGTGTGTGTGTGTGTAAATCCTTGACTTTGTCTACACTGAGCAGACACTACTCACAGAACTGTGAGCAACACAACTCAGGGGGAGTCCCACAAGCCTTTCCCTTGTGACTGTGAAAACTGTGTGGGGGGCGGGGGAGAGGATGCACGGGACACAACAGGGTGTGTGACAGGCGGAGTCCCACAAGGAGCGTTGCTGTGACTGGAGGGATAGATGAGGAAGGGACTGGTGGACAAGCGAAAGCCCTTGATGTGTCGAGAGTGTGGGGCGGTGCCGGGCCCTTTCCTCTTTTTGTGACTTTGGCTGTTGCTCCATCAGGGTCACTTGTGCAACAGAACTAGGAAAAAGCTTGCAAGCCCGGTTGGGGATGATTTGCTCAGCTGAAGGAACTTTCTTCATCCTTGCCAACTTTTGCTCTCACTGCCTCATGTTCCAGAAGGGGGCCCACACATTGCCTCTCCCTTAGCCTTTGTAGAAATCCCTAATTTGTAGAACTGCCGTGTCTGTTTCATAGATTAGGAAACACTACCCTCACACAGCTAACCAGGCCCTAGGTCGAGCCCGAGAGAGGTAGAGGGCTCTGGGACTCACCGTGTAGATGGATTCTGCCGGAGGCTTTGTGGTTCCGCCGGTGGATTTGGGACCGGGGCAGGTCCTGGTAATATGCTTGCCCAGGACTGACATCTGTTTCTGTAGGGAGAAGAAAACCAGGGCTGTGGAGGCTGAGGAGAAGCAGCTCTCCCATCTCCCTCCCCTTACAGACCCTATCGAGGGAGGAAATTGCTGATTGCCATGGGGCCACACAAAAATTAATCACTCAACCCTTTCCACTCGCCGTCTCCAGGGAGAGGTGCCTGAAGCTACAGGAAACGCAAAGACCCACGTGGGGCGATGTCACAGCAGAGTGCCTGACTCTAGGGAGGAAACTGTGTAGGTGGGCCCCAAATGAATGCCAGCCAGCCCCTCACCAACTGTGGCCCTGAAGGAAGACGCTTTCTCTCTAGCTTCAATGCCTTCGGCAGTAGCCCCCTTAGCAAGATGATTACAAAGTTTCAAGTGGGGGACAGAGGGGAGGTGCTTGGTGGCACTCAGGAAACCCTCAGTCAACCACCTCACGTTGGCTGAACACGTCTGTTAGCTGGGCAGTGTGAAAGGGTGGACACATTCCTGCCCTCCTGATCTTAAAGTTTGTGGGAGAGATGGGCCATACATCGCAAATTTACCACAGCAGAGCTTCCAGTACACGGAGACCAATGACTCAGGAAGGGGTTATTTGGGGAAAATACGAGAACTGGAGTGTGTTCAGCAGGAACAGAGGCAAGGGCTCCAGGCAGAAGCACAGCAGGCAGGCAGGCAGGTATGTACCAAACCTGCAGGACTGAGGGCGCTCAAGGAGAGGTCAGCCTGAGGCTAACTACCCTGATGGGCAGGATGATGGGCAGGGCAGTGAGGAGAGCAGAAAGCATTGAGGGCTCCAGGTAGGGTGCCTAGAGCAAACCAGCTTTGGAAAACTCCAGAAGGCTAAAACCAAATGGCAAGTGGAATTGGAGAACACTGGGTCACCCTGCTGGAAAAGCACAGGGCCCCGGGGACAGCCAGAGGGAGGCAGTTTGGACGCCCCCCTCATCACAGGCACCACACTGCCGAGAGTGGAACAACAACGGCCTCATCTCAGGGCAGGAGCTAATTAAAAACCCTGGCCACCTGCCAATCCCCAGCCCATTTACTCCCGGATTAGCAGTCAAGAGCTACTTAACTCACAGGCAGAAACCGGTGCCACCCCCAGTCTCAGCATCATACAACTGAACATGGAGTCAGGGAGGGAGATATGCCCTGTTGCTTGTGCTCAACAGACCTGCAGACGAGCTCTCGGGTCATGCTCTGTGCATGAAGAAGTAAAATCTTGGAGAGGGTAGGGGATTGTGCAGACACGCAGCCAGTAAGCGGCTGGGGCAGGATTGGAACCTGTGTCTGCGTTTGCTAAGACGCCAACTCAATGCTACCTAGAGTGTTGGCATCTGTTTGTGGGAATTTGTGGGTCTCATACAGACAGGTGCGGTCACCTGTGCGTGGTTTATAACTCAGAAAGATCCCTGTCCTGGTCACTTAATTCTCTCAGCAGCCTGAGGGAGTGGACACGGGCTTACCATCTCACAGGGAGGAAAAGTGAGGCCTGCCAAGCTAACAAATGACTGCCCATAAGGAAACACAGACCCTGGCACCTCCCTGCACTGTCTATGCCTGGAAACACTGCCACAGTTACACCCCAGGGACACTCGGGGTACATTGGTACCACCTCCTTGTCAAGATCGCTGGGGTCCTGGCCCCTCCCCTTTTGAGCCTGCTTGTCTAAATGCCACTCAAGCTGAAAGACAGGAACTCCCAGGCAGTGGCTGTTTGGAAGCTTCCTGGGTAAGCACTTTGGATCCAGACTGGAAAACACAGGTCTTGGCATGAGACACCTGTGGGCCGTGGTGCCAGACCTCTTCCATGCTGGGCCTGGCTGAGCACCGGGGATCCTGTGGCCTTTTTTTTTTTTTTTAATATTTATTTATTTATTATGGATACAATATTCTGTTTGCATATATGCCTACAGGCTAGAAGAGGGCACCAGACCCCATTACAGATGGTTGTGAGCCACCATGTGGTTGCTGATCCTGTGGCCTTTTGGGTTTGCCATTGAGAGCTCAGGGAGGTGAGCTATACACTGTTGGCTTCAGGAAAGTGCTCAGGTCCACAGGAGGCTATGGATTGTTAGGGATGTGCAGAGGAGGGACCAGCAGGGGGAGAGGAGGGCGAGCAAGAGAGTGGGAAGGGAAGAGCAAGGAAGGGGAAATGGGCAATGACGAGGCCACAGAATACAAATGACACCAGTGTCTCTACTAGGGGTATGGTGGGGCACAGTGGGAGCCACGGGAGCTGGACATGGTCAGATTCGCTCTCATCCACCTCCGTAATTGGCCTCAGACGCAGGTGCGAGGCGGATTGAAGTTTGGGAGCAATGGGGAGGAGGCCCAGGCTGAAGCGGGAATCCTATGGGGATCCTTGCAAACTTGGTTGGGTTACGTTTTGCTGTGGAGGTTGGGGATGCTCTGTCCCTTGGAACCAGCTCTGTCTACTCAGGACCCTGACCCACGCTACCAGAACTTGTCCTTTCAGGTTGTGATTATTAGGTTAGTCAGCCAGCCAGCGTGACTTCTCCCATAGTGCCTAGCTCTCTGTTGCCCATGTTTCCTCTCCCCAGTAGGCTTCAGGGAGGGTCAGCAGGCCTGGCCTGAGACCCAGCTCTCTGTACCTCTGCCCAAGAAACCTGTTAAACCTCAGTTTCCCCTGCTTTGAAACAGGAGTCATAATGTCACCTTGCCCTCCTTGTGCCCTAGCTTGCTCCTCCTCATCTTTCAGGAATCAGCATGCATATATCCCATAATTCCTTCCACCAGCACCTACTATGTGCCAGGCTCTGGCACGCACCAGGATATCAAGTCCCTGTCCTGTAGGGTGCTTCACTCAGGCAGGGAGACAACAGAAACGCAGAAGCCAGAGGTTGGATAGTAGGGTGGGGGGAGGTGATCGAGGATCCTGACGAGGGTAATGGGGCCCAAGCCAGGGCCAGGGAGAAGGGGCTGGACCTGGATAGGCTGAGGGACGAATGTGGGAGTGAGTGGACAAGCCACGCACAGCTCCAGGGTTTAATCCTGAGCCCTCAGGAGGCCTGAGGTCCTGAAGAGTGTTCTTTTGGTCATTTGAGGTGGAGATACCCTATGCCCCATATATATGAGTCACCATGTTCACCGTACCGATCTGAAGCTTAGGGAGGGGACTGGCAGCTCATCAATGGATGAAAACATAAACCCCGGGACAGATCAGTCACCCAGGTGCCTAGAGAAAGGTGCCCAGGACCTTCCAGAGCTGTTTTTACACATACATATCCCAGTCAGGCGGAGTCGTCACACCTGCTCCCATGGTGGATGTCACGGTGGTCATCATCTTCTCAGGAGAGTAGCTGCCCTGGTGCTCAAAGCAGCCCAGGTTTTCTTTAACGTTTCTCACCCCCACCTCCTGTCCACAGCCGGGATGCCTGGAATTGTCTCTGCTTGGACTCTCCTCTGCCGAGATCTCAGTTGAGGCAGGGAGGAACTGGTTAGCCTGCCCAAACTCACAGAGCTGGTAAGGTGTGTGTGTAGGGGGGTGGTTAGAGCACAAACCCAGTCTGGAGCTGTGCTCTCAAGCCTCCCAGCCCCCACTGACCACCAAGCAGGCTATCTTGGAATTTTAGTCGTTGTGTTTCCTCTGAGTTCCTAATCTCTGATATATCCTAATGCTTGGCACATAGTAGGTACTCAGCTAAGATCCACTTTAAAAGTCAACCCATGTTTTTCCTATGAAAGGACTGAGAATTATAACCCCGCCAGCAGATTCTTACTGAACACTACTAAGTGCAGAGTCCTATACCTCAGGCCGAGGCAGGTGACAAGGAAAAGACCACTGCGAGAAGGTAAGAATGAGGGGTGCCCTAGTGGGGAGTCAGCTCTCCTAGGGAGTCACCATGAACTGGAGATGGGCAAGCCAAGAGCTGGAGCACACTGTCCCCTTCACATACGCTCCAGTCTTGCTCTGTCGTGTGCTCACCATAAGCAAGTCACAGCTTCTTTGGGCCTCACTCTCTGGGGCTGAGAGATGGGAAGAAATGTCCGTGTGGAAGGGTTAGGCACACAGCATCTTTTAGGCTCTCCCTTCCTTGTTCATGGCTGGCTGTCAGGGGTGGGGGGGTGGGCTCTGTCTGGGGACCTGATGGGAGCCTGCATCTTCTGCCGGATTCTTTTTTTGTTTGTTTGTTTTTTTTTTTGTTTGTTTGTTTTTCGAGACATGGTTTCTCTGTGGTTTTGGATCCTGTCCTGGAACTAGCTCTTGTAGACCAGGCTGGTCTCGAACTCACAGAGATCCGCCTGCCTCTGCCTCCCGAGTGCTGGGATTAAAGGCGTGCGCCACCACCGCCCGGCCTTCTGCCGGATTCTTAAGGGATGAGTAACCTGGGAAAGTCTAAAGAACCCCTATTCTTTCAACTGGGTGGAAGTGGGCCTCTGGGCTGATGGAGTATCCTGCCCAGGGCCTAGGACACCCTATGGGACAGGGCAGTTCCTCTGGTCCTAGAAGCCTCCCCAGGTCCATCGTGCGGATGAAGGATACAAGACTCAGCATAAATGTATTACATAAATGTGTTACGTGTCCACTTGGTCCTTACCTTCTTCCAAAGCAGTAGAACTGTGCCCAGCACACTCAGGGCACCCAGCAGGCCAGTAAAACTGAACAGCAGGGCCTCCTGGCGCTTGAACGAAGGTGGCTGGTATGCTGTGTCTAGGCGGGAGGGAGGAGTGCGGGGAGCAAAAAGTAAGTTTCCCAGGAGAGCTCAAGGCCTACATGGCCTACCAACCCCTAGACCCAAAGCTTAACATTGCCCTTTTACCCATTTCTAACTCTCTACAGACCCCTGACCTTCAGGGCCTTGGCTTTGTTCCTGTGTGTCTTGATTGCCGTAATACTCTAAGGATAGGACTATGTCATTTGCCCCTTTAGTGGCCCTGACTCAGTGGCCTTGGCACCACTGAGGGCTGCCTCGGGGACCCTGGTGAGTCATATCATCTTTGGGGACCTCCCTTCCTGTATCTGAAATAATGGTACTATGAGTGTATGCTGTGAGGGACACGGGGACTGACAAGGACAGTTACACCAGGGGTAGACAAGGGGCAAATGTCCCCTCATCTGGAGCCCTCCCTCCACCCTCCTTCCCTGCCTCCATCTGGCTGGCAGAGGACAAAGGACAACCCACGTCTGGGCCCATAATAGTTACTGAGCAAGTGCCCAGGCAGCATCCCTCATAGGCTAGCCTGTGCAACATCAGGCAGAGTACTGCCATGAAGGTCAGACCCAAGGTCACATCCAGTCAAGCAGTAAAACAAAAAGTCAAACCCAGGGCTGTGGGATTCCAAAGTCCCAGCCCTTTCCAGTGGGACTCACGGAAGTGGTTAGAGAAAGAACCAGGACTTTGACCACGGCTCGCTTTTAACTTTGGGGGTCTCACACCATTGAGAACAGTAACTAGGAATTACTGCCAGAATGATGTAAAACAAATGCTCACTCAAGCAAGATGCTCACAAGTCCTCGTGTGCACATGCCTAACCCCACACTGCCCTGCACTGCTAATGGGGTCCCGGCACCAGTGGGCTGAGTGACCTCTCTCAAGTCACTTGTCCAAGGTGTCCAGAGGCAGATCCCCACACTGGACCCCTTCTCTTTCAACACAAAGGTGGGTGCCTGGCACTGCAGGTGTTCCCGGCAGGAGGTGGGGGGCTTCTGCTCTGTTTGCAAAGCTAGAAGGCAAGGTAGAGAAACTGTTGGGTGGTCCCAGCATTTCATTCACCCTGGAAGGATCAAGAGGAGGCCTTACCTCTGACCAGAATGAAGGTGCCGCTGCCCTGCACTGAGGTGTGTCCTTGGACTAAGCAGTAGTAAGTGCCTGTGGCCGATGCATTTGGCAGGCTGAGTTTAACCTCGCAATCCAGGGTCTGGTTCTCCGCACCAGGGCTGTGTTTGCAGTCAATTGGCTTCTCCACACTTCTCTTGCCATGGAGATCCTCATGAAAGAAGCTAAAGGTGAAGTCCTTGAATTGTGGTGTGTCCTGGTAGTTGATTCTGCAGCTAAAGGAGACAGCCGTGTTGGCCAGAGAGACCATGATAGGGAGGCCGGTGTGGGTCACTGATATCCCTCCTGTGGGGGGAAATGACAGGCTAACGTGACAGCTCACTGCAAGATTCCTCACCCAAGCATGCCTCCTGCGTGTGGACTGCACAGGGTGATCCTCAGAGAGATTCCATTTCTCCAATGGACAGAGGCCAGGCAAAAGCTTTGACTGAGGAAGAACAAGAGTCAGGAAGGTCAACCATTAGGGTGGATTCTTCAACAGGTGGGAAGTGGGAAGCAGAGACACCCCTGGGGCTGAGGGGACCTCAGAGCCTGAGCTCCTAACCCCTCTCCTTCCCACAGGATGAAAGGTACCCCCATTTGTTACCCATACAGACCTAAGGGACTAATAGCTAGGGAAGAAATGAAGGAAGGAATACAGGAAACCAGAGCACTTCCTGGCGGGGGACAGAGGGAGCAGGTCTTCATGCCAGCAGGGAAGGCTGGCCAGCCGGCAGAGATGGGCCATTCCCAGAATCAGGGCTGGGAGAACATTGTCAAGTCTCCAGGTGGTATAATAACCATTCCTCGGGGAGCCATCCTCCAAAGATGCAGAGATGCTCACATGCGGGCACTTGTGCCCAATGCTCATCACAAGGCCAGTTCCTCTGGAGCCATCATCCCTAACCCACACTCATCAGAAAACAGTTTAAATACCCCCCTTCCCGTGCCCGCACAAGCAGCAGCCCAGCCCGGCTAGGCCTCCTCCTGCAAGCTTCCGAGAGGCTGTTTAGAATTGGAGCAGGGTCAGCAGCCACCGCCCCCGACTTTGGCAACACAGGTCTCTCAGCTTCAATATTCCATGCCTCCTGGGCCCTTCCTCTCCAGCAGCTGAGCAGCAGACAGTTTTTAAATTGAGGTCGGCAGCAAGCAGCCAAGAACACGCAGGCCGGCTTGTTAATCGGGAGAAGATCGTGCGTTTTGAGACGCTTAGAAACTCTCAAGATTTATTTTGCCGAGGAAAGTGAGCTGTGGGCCTCCTGCCTGTGGGCTGGCATGGAGCCAGGAGGGTCTCTTCTGGCCTCTTCAGCTTTCCCCTGGGGAAAGGGCCCTCAGGAGAGGCTGAGCCTTCTGGAAGATGCCAGGGCAGGGATGGAGATGATCCTCCAGTGATTGCTTACAGATTTGAACAGGCTGATATTTTGAATTTACTGTGGAGCCTCTAAGAGACTCTCCACCCCCTAAAGAACAGGGGCATTGATAGTACCACGTTCACTGCTAATGTGGTACAATGGTCACTTTGGGAGTATTTACTGAGTTAGTGCCCAGGCCCCTTCCCTGGCAAGGAGTCCCTGTCCTGGGCTTCCCTTAGGCTGGCATTACCCTCATATTCTCTGGCCTCTGTTGCGGAGCAGTTGCAACTCGACTATACTATATACACAACATAATACTGGCAGAGCAATGTTCTAGCTTTGTTATTAAGAAGCCTCCTCGATCAGGGTAGAGGCGGTCTGAGGTACCACATGACTGGATAGAGGAGGCAAGAGACAGGAGTTACAGAATGATCTCCCAGGGTTCCAGACGGGCTGGAGGGTGCATGAAGCCATAGCATGGAGTGATTGAGAGCTCTGCCCACACCGCCAGCAGCTCCCCTGTCCCCTTCTGTCCCATGCTTCTGCCAGTCCTTCCCTCGGCAGCTGCACGGCCAGCAGCCCCCTGTACCCACAGATACCCTCTCTGTGGCCTGTCTGTGTCCCCCTCTGCCTGTGTTTCTTACCTGGAGAGTCCTCTGTCCAGAGCCCCTTTACCTGTGCTCCCTTCCTATGGCCAACTCCTGAGATCCTAGTCTTGATTCCTCAGAGGCTCCCGGTACCTGATCCTCCTGATGGGCTCTCCATATGCTCCTGTCAGGCTGCCAGGGTAAGCAGAGCCTGCCTGGCTTCCCCAGGGTTCCAAAGTGAAGGGTGGAGGTTGGAATCCCACAGAAGAGACCTAGAAAGGGGTCATCCCTTCTTCCCTGGGACCTTTTGCTTCTCCCGTGTTACGAGGTCAGTCTCAGACTAAGGGAGGAAGACATGCTGCCAGCATGACGAAGCTACTTTCCTAATTTTTCTGGCAGGAAGATAACCATCCAGTTGTCTTAACCTTCCCCCATTTTCCCCCATCTGCCTCTCCCCGGGGCCAAAGCACCCTTCTAAAAAATGACAGAATCTGCTAGAGCAATTAAGCCAATCTTTACAATTCTGGAGATAGCTATAAAAATAGATGTCTATTGTTCAACAGCCTTAAGGGATTGGCTGTTTTCAGGTTAAAGGGTTAAGATGACAAAATTCAGGGCCTGACTCTGGCCAGTCATAGTACACAGAGACCTGGGGGTGAGAACCTCGGGCCTTGATGAAAGCGCAGTATCTGGGGGAGAGCGAACTCAGCTCCTTCCATGTCGGAGAAGCAATGACAACTAGTCTGGAGACAGCTGAGAGCCAGGAGGAATCTCAGTTGGTACAGTGCTAGGGTGTCTGATCTGAAGATGGAGTCCATCACTGTCCCTCCTTTGTGGGGTGTCAGCACCCCACAGTTTGGACCATGGAGCTACTGTGGATATCCAGTCCTCTGCTCCACTCCGTTAGTTTGCCAGTGAGAAGCAGCCCCCATTTAAGGTCCAGAGCTGCAGATGAGCTCACAGAAATTCTAAGTCCATGAAACCTTTCCCTCTAGCATTTGCTGTGCCCCAAACACACACACACACACGCATGCACGCACACATGCACGCACAAGCACACACCACTCAGTAAGGGTACCAGGCAGCTTGCAGGTACTACCTGGCCTATCAGCATCCCCTGTGATAATAAAGTAGAGATGCTTGGAGTGGAAGGGAGGGAGGGTAGAAGGGAGGGAGTACGCAGTGTCTCTAGGTAGGTCAGGAGGTGCCTGGGAGTTGAAAACTTCCTTGACTTGGAGTGGGTATCCAGAAATAGAAGGAAAAGAACATGAATAGGAAATCAACCTAGCCAGGTATGACACAGGCTAAATGCCAGTCTAATACCATGAGGCAATTATAGTAACCTCACTCCAGAGAGAGAGAGAGAGAGAGACTAGAAAGATGGCTCAGTGTAGAGCTGGAGAGATGGCTCAGCAGTTAAGAGCACTGGCTGCTCTTCCAGAGAACCCAAGTTCAATTCCCAGCACCCACATGGCAGCCCACAGCCATCTGTAACTCTAGTCACAGGGGGTCCAACCTCCCCTTCTGGTCTTTGCAGGCACTGCATGCAAGGGGTACACAGACACATTTAGGCGAACACTCATAAACATATGATAAAAAAAATAAATAAAACCTCTCCAGGTGTTGGGATACACACCTTTAATCCCAGCACTCTGGAGGCAGAGGCAGGTGGATCTCTGTGAGTTCGAGGCCAGCCTGGCCTACATAGCGAGTTCCAGGACAGCTAGGGCTATTACAAAGAGAAACTCTGTCTCGAAAACCCAAATAAATAAATAAATAAATAAATAAAAACTAAAAAAAAAAAAGAGAGGTGGTTCAGTGGGGAAAATGGCTGTCACCAAGCCTGATGGCTTGAGTTTTATCCCTGTGACCTACATGGAAGAAAAAGAACAAACTCCCTCAAGTTATCCTCTGACAGCCACACTCATGCAAGGGAATGCACGCACTAAATAGTTACATGTTAAAAGAAAATCAGGCGGAGTCTCAGAGGCTCAAAGCTCCAGGATTCATGAACAGTGGCATTGTGCTTAGAACGAGGCTTCACCTGACGCTGCTGAGGGGGCAGAGCCAAAGGCCATAGGCACAGGATGGAGAGGGGGTGGTGTTCATGGAGGAGCCAAGCACGGTAGCCACCAGCTGCCAAAGACAGCCTGTCAGATCCCGGACATTTGCACAGTCCAGTCACGGACAAGTGGTTACACGCCCTTTGGCTCATGTCTCATGGATCTCTGAACTTTGGCAGTGTCTCACTCACAGGATAATGTGGCCCGGACAGGGAGCTGTCTGAGTGTTCTCTGCGGTTCTGTTCATGCAGCTGTCTTTGGAGATAAGTACCCCAGGAGCAGGACTGAGCGGACCCCAGAATTCAGGGACTGAGGAGGGAAAGGTTCACGGGGTGTGGTTTTGTTTGTTTGTTTACTTGCTTGCTTTTGTTTTGTTTTGTTTCGGTTTTTCAAGGCAAGGTTTCACTGTGTAGCCCTGGCTGTTCTGGAACTTGCTCTGTAGACCAGGTTGGCCTCACACTCACAGAGATCCGCCTGCTTCTGCTTCCATCCCTCCCAGCCTGAGTGGAACCTCCTGTCCTTGCAGTTCCCAGAACACAATGACCCTGACCCTACTTGGCTCTGTACTTCCACCCCGGGTGACCACGTGGAAGGACAGGAGTGGGAGTGGAAGGTCTGAGTGGGAGAGGTTGCCAAGGTCAGCATGGCTGTTACAGGGTTGGAGATGTGAAGAAGCAGGAAGCATTGTGACCAAGTGATCAAAGACTGTGACTTTCTCAGAGTGACCAGAGCTGCTGAGGGTCCAAAGGACCCTGGCACAAGCCAGAGCGGCTCTTCTGGTCATGCTCAAGGTGCCACAGGTAGGTCTTCAATGCAGGCTAAACAGAGACAAATCTGGCACAGGAAGACAGTCCCAAGAACCTTGCGTGTTTTCCGCAAGGGAAGGGACTCAATGCCGCCTCCAAAAGGTTGCAGATATGCAGCCTGCAGGGTTCCATGAGGGCAGTGGGTGAGAAGGCAGGGAGGAAGACCAGGAGTTTTCTGTCTTGCAGTGGCTGAGAGCCCCTCCTTTTGACCCAGGTGGAAAGCGGGGAAGCAGGAAGAATTGAAGGTCAGGTAGGGTGTCTCTGGATGGGAACCTGGGAGCCTATGTGATGGTGGCCTAGATAAGAAGAGGGAAAGTGGGAAGACTCGAGGGTCAGGTGTGTGTATGGGGGGGGGGGGGGTGACATCTGTCTCTGGATGAGAGCCCTGAGCCGTGTGAAGGTAGAGGCAGAGGAAACCGGAAGTCAAGTAGGATGGGATGGGATGTCCCTAGAACAGAGGGGCAGGCCTGGATAGGAACCTGTGAGCCTGCAAGGAGA